CAGTTGCATTCCGGTGTATGCTGTCAGTCATGTCATCTCGGTACGGAAAACCCTGACCGCTAAGATGCAAATAATAATGTTTTGCTCCAATAAAGGGTAAAAGCTGTCGCATCCGACCAAAAAATTTAAAAAGTAGTCCATTTTCTTTACAGTCCAACCATGTGATCTCCCATGTTGTCATATGTTTTTTTAAGACAACGTAACCGAGGGTCACATCGATACTTTTCATCTTGCTTTGGGATGCGTGCCGTCTGAGACTAGGCATCATTGTCGATCCCTGACCGGCAGATACACGAGCTCCCGCCATCATTCGACTTGGTCACATCCAGCTCAGAAGAATTGGATCAATCCAGGAATTTGCGTGACCAAATATAACAAAATTTCACTGATATTTGGCAAGGTGTCGCGCAAAGTCATCAGGAGCTCAATCAGGCTCGAGAGTGCGGCGAAGCTGACACAGCTCGGCTTTACTGCAAGCAATGTCGGCAGAGCTGCCCAACTTTAAAAATGAGACTTCCCCCATGATGTGATCACGCAAAACCTGTATGCAATCTTCAGGTGTTTACTGGGGTGTAGAAAAACAACATAAACGGCAATCAGCACTGAATACATGAGCGCATGAATTCTCTACAAGAGCTGCGCGGTGCACTTCCCTCTTGAAGCCATGGACAACGTATGGGAATGGCTTTCATTCCAGACTGTATGCCACCCTGGCCACCTGGCCCTTTTCCCAGGCCTCTGAGGCTGAGATGGTCTGGGCCTGACTGTGCTGATAAAGAGGACGAGGGTTGCCCGTTACATCACTTTTCTCTGGAGCCATTGAACTCCGGACATCGATCTACCTGGACAAGTGTGCTGAACAGGTGCATATAAAATGTGATTGGGTTTTGAAGAAAGAAGTCCGAACCACGTCACGGTGTTAAAGTTTGATGTGTTTGGCGTTTGGACACATAAGGGCCTCTGCTCAGGCGTAAAGTTTCGCAACATAATTTGGGAATGGCTGAGCAGGGAAACAGCTAAAGTGAGCCCCAAACTAAATAAAGCACTTGTTTCGCTTCACCGAACTCAACCCGTTTTCCTCCAAAGGAACTATGTGGGGGTTACCCCCAGCTGAAAAGGAAAAATACACTGCCGCATCCATAGCAGAGTAGGCTTCTGTTGTTCGCGCTATAAATCACGACAGATAACGGCTAATGGGCGTCACCAAGCTCTTTAGCCTTGCGGTGCACTGGCTTTGTCGCACGTGTCCAAGACTTTGGCGATTTTCAATGGTTAACGTGACATCCACGGCTGTTGAGTGACATATCAGAAAGTGCTTAATGCCCGGACATAATATAATTGATAAGGTGTTAAACATGGTAGTTTCAGGAGAAGGGGTGGTAGCTCGTTGGCCGGGGTTAGGCGCTCTACGTGCGGTCGCAAGGCTCACTATAAGCTCCTTTTACTCATTTTAAGCGCTCGTGCCGAAAACAACCGGCCTTCATCATACACCAAGCACTGGTCAAAGTAAATGTCAAACACTCTTGACCATGAGCACTGCTGGAAGCGTGACTATTTTCGCAATTCATTTGAATGGCACCTTGTCATTTTTCTTCGAGCCAGTATCCAGTAGTTTTCGTTTACATAAATGATAAAGGGACCGAGCCGATGGCTTATTAAAACAGCCCGCGTCCGAAAATGCGTTTCTGAACGGATAACTGGCAAGTTAATTACAACCCAGTTCAATTTCTATCTTCTATATTGTTGAAGTTCACTCGCAAAAGCGATTTCTTCGCGTGATACTAGATGATTCATCCACTTATATCACAGCAGAAATGTTGCGAAATAAATCAGGATTGGAGTGCTCAAGTCAACATGGCTGGACCAACTTCTTCACAAAATATAGCAAATCAGCAGTCCTGAAAGCACCTCCGGGAATAAAGAAAGTAAGATATGCTCGACATGGAACGAAGTTCAAGAATCCTTGGAGCCTGAGGTCATTCGTGCTTAAATGAAGCTCTAGACGCGCAGATAATACGCCTAACCTGATCATAATCATGCAGTATGTTGCCTTGCAAAAGGACCGGAATATTCTGCTGCGATCATTAGGGCATTTCACGCTGCATTCGTTGAATATCTTGCTGGCAGTCGGATGGAAGATGGGAGGGTCAGGCTTTTATACTAACTCGATCGTAGGTGTGTTACCGAATGTGTATCAAATACCAAGTATCATGCACGGAGACAATTATATATTGGATTGTCTCCTACACATATGCAGAGGCTTTTGCTTCCCCACCTAGGACAAAAGCGATGCCAAGCAGGACATCGGCTACTTTTTCCCAATTACAAGGAAATCAGCATTCGCCGCTTCAAAAATGAACATGCACTGGGCGAAACGTCTGGATTGTTATGCACTTGAAGAGCTTGTCAGCACCAGCCTTCTAAACACGGAAGTCACAAAAAATTGAAATACTTCGTTACCTTAAATGAATAGATTTCGAATGCACTCTCACCATTAGACAAGGCCGTACTGGCAAAGTGAACGTAGGGTGACTTTTATACCCAGCGTCGCACCCGCTGACTGAGCCTGATCGCTTTTCTATCCGTAACCCATGAACAGGGAGCCAGGAATACAACACTCACTATACGGGCGAAGCATTAACACCAAAACCGATACGTGAACACCAAAAGCGATACATAAGCCAATAACTCACTTGCCATGGTAGTAGGGGTAAATTCACGTGGGCTGGGAAGGCTCTGGTGGGGGGGGGGGGGGGGGCAAGGCCATTGGCTCCCGGACCGGCCGCCATCCAGACTCAGCCAGCAGGCCTGGCGTCGGGCTTCTGCCGCCGCTTCCGTGCCTGCCGTGGGGCCGATCGCCGCATCACATCCACTTACCGTGACGGATAATGCCGCAGCGGTCAGCCCAGCCGGGCCGGCCTCGGCTGCACGTGATCGCCCTGGGCGCCGCCGCCGCCGCCTGCGGAACACAGGACTGTTGGGTTCGGATGTCGCGTGATCCGTGTGCTTCTACCTGGTCTGGCGAGCCGACGGATGCCCGAGCAGTCCACGCGGTCGCCGGCACCGACTGCTTGGCCGGCCGATGGGTCGCTTCGCTGCGAGCCCCGGTCTGCAGCCAGCACGGCCATCCCAGGTCATCACCCTCCCGCCCCCCACCCCCCCCCCCCCCCCCTCCCCAGCATGTGCCGGTGAACTCTGCACACGGAGCGGAGCTGACGCCCGAGGCGCCGCACCTCTTGCCGTCAGGATGGACGGCGGACAGAGGTGCAAAACTCGGACCCACCACCAGCTGTAACACATGTGGGCTCTTTGTGCGTCAGCTGTTGGTAACATACATCGTAGCTGTATGCCATTTCGAGTAGTGAGACGGCAGTAGAAACATTTAGTCGTTTCCCATGCAGACCAGCTCTTCGCACTAAAGAAAGATGCGCTGTGCGTTGTGATAATTAAGTGCCACGTCGACATCACATGTTTCATTTCATTCAACTGCTGGTCCCTGTCGTCTTAGCATCACGATCAATGGGTTTTTCATCCATGCTCCTACGTTCCTACGTTGGGAGCCGCGTTTCCTAACAGCCCTCACGACGCCACAGCGCTGGAGGTACTGTGCTGTTCTGGTTAACGCCCCTGGGACATTTTCAAAAGGTAACAAGGGTAACCTCTGCACGCGAAAAGTGTCACAAATGTGCGCTTGACTTATTTGTGCTTTTTGTTTCATATTGAGCCCGGCATACAGTTTCAAAAGATCCCACTAATGTTTGATAGGATATGTGAGATCGGAAAAGATCGAATATTAACAGCAGTGCTCGAATATTTGGAAAGTTCTGGCTTGATTGATCGTTTCAGAGTCAGCAAAGCACAGCAATATTTATCAAATATGTTGGTAAGAGAGCCAGAAAGCTAGTGATAAGACACGTATCGTCAGTGACGCCGGCCTCGCTTTTGCCTGAGATTACGGCACCAGGGTATGTGGTTTGCTGATGTGCGACAAGTCAGTCGCTAAATTTGCCCGACCAATCACGTCATAAGTTCGTGCCATTGCGTAATTTTCAACTTTTGTTTATGCTAAAATATACCAACAAGTTAAGAAGCCCTCATCACTGCTGGACAAGCGCCTAAAAGTCATTTACAGTGGAAGTCAGCATCTCGGCAGAGGGCTTCAAAGCAATGCACCATGTGACCCTGGACGACGATGGTTGGCGCCCCCCCCCCCCCCCCTCCGCCATTCATGGTCCATGGCTGCCCTGTGAGGAGGCTATGGGCGCTGCGTGACCCCTGAGCCTTAGTGTTGGCGGAGCAGAACAATTTTGTGTGAAAACTAGCATGCTCATTTAAACTTCTTGGTTCCGTGCACTGTAGTGATTAGTGGCACACGCATTCACTGCCATACGTGTGCAGCTACCATGCTTACGTTGTTGTTTCTCGTGCCTATTACAAGACAGAAGAATGCACGCCTACAGAAGACCTGCCAGAACACAGACCCAATGTCCGCTGTGAACATGACAACTGTACATACGACGCAGGCAAACACATCCCCGCAAATCACGCCGGGCTGAAGCACACGGGAGGGTGAGCGCTGATCAAAGGCAATGCTCGATTTAGTCCAAATGTCCGATGGTCGAGCTGGGCTAGAAAGGTGTTACGCTGAGGAAAGGAGGACGACAGCAGAGGAACACCGACAGGCTCCGCCATTCACCAATTGATTGACTGGACTGCCCCATTGAGCTCGTCACAAGAAGCAGCTATCGGTGCCGATATAATCGTCATATTTCACGTCATAACGTTACGCGGTTTACTAGAGTATGCCCAATGTCACCTACCTTGTACCCATACTGACTGTCATTTCTAGCAGACCAGCGCACGTCTCTGCCAGACAGCCCATTGCAGCGCGTGTTGCGTGGGTGGTGGGCCGCGAGGCCGCGTTGTGCACCTCTGCAGTAAGGACCGCCCGGAGGCAGCGGCGCAGCGGCGGCGGCGGCGGCAGCACCGCCGCGTCGTGCCACCCCTGCTCGCCGTCGTGCACCTCCCGGGGCAGCTGTATAGGTGAGCGGATCGCGCCCGTTTGCGGGACTACTCCAGCTTTGCTCCACTATGCATCGCTTTTCGAGGCATCACGCTTCGCTCAGTCCTAAATTCTGTCTGGTTGGCCGCATTCCTCTACGCCAATTCCGGTTTAAATGTTTGGGTGACTCTGAAAGGAATCGGGCGTTTAAACTGGCTTCTGATTTTGTCTATATTAAGGCGAGCAGAAACAGTAGTTTTCCGACCCCAAAAAGATGGAAACAGCTAAAATATTGTTGTGTTTATGCCTGGTGTCCGGCCACGATACCGTGGGTTTAAAGGTTGTTGTAATGAACGTACCGTGATATGGTATTTACCTCCCACGGGGTTCTCGCTAAGGTAAAAATGTTTCAGACTGTCTCATGTTAATAAGAATATTAGAGAGCAAAAGACAACTGGCGAAGCAGGTGAGTATGCTGCAACTCATTTGTCGCATATTGCCTTAAAAATATGTTTTGTCGGTCCCAATTTCTTCAACGGTACCATGTACATGGGTCATGCAGGACCTGGGTGCGTATTTTTTGGACCTGCATTCTGATTTGTTAAAAAATTTGGAAACTCAGCGACTTTTTGCCAAAATAAATATGGCATGACCGGAGAACTTTTACCACTGTGAAGTGATGCTAGCCTGTAACGATTATAGACGATGCGTGGAATTGTTTACAGCTGCAGCCAGAAGCCAGACTTGACAACTAGGTAGCCCACCATAGCCCTCACCACGCTAATGAATTGGAAGGCGGCTAGAAGACGCTGCTGGATGTTAAGACGGCTAGCTGGCAAGAAATGCATCGTGCTGATCCTTGTTAGCGCGTATTTCACTACGGTACGCCGGAGCAGACAAGGGTAAGGTCTGGCACGTCTCCTTCTCACACAGTGTCTTTGTGACTTATGTTCATTACGTGAAGCCTGTGAGACTTATTGAGAAAACAGCGTTTTGATGTCCTGCGGAAGCGGCGGCCAGAGTGGAAAATGTCTGAAGCAGGCATGCGAATGGGGAAATTTTCTGTGGTATTGCACAGTATGAAATACATGCCAGTAATGATAAGCACCGCAGACCTTCGCTTAGAACACAGTCTGTCCGTTTGTCGTCGGTTTTAAAACATCTCGCATTAACTTCAATGGATTTTGTTATGACCACCATTCGTGTTTACCTTCCAGCACGGTCGAAGACGCAGGATATGGCCCAGAGGCCGCGAGTCCTGGTCCGCCTTGGGCCCTCCAGCTGAAGAGGGGCGCCAGCCCAGACCAGACGTACGCCCAGCTACACCGCCTGCTGACCACCGCCGAGCGCCACTGGCTGTGCCCTCATCCCGTCCTGGTCGGAGGTCGCTGCCTGGCGTGCTGGGCCAGCAGCAGCGACAGGGTCCATCCGCAGGCAGATGGAGAGAAGGCCGTGTGTGCGGACCTGCTGCGGCCCAACTGCTCCGTGCTGTCATTCGGCACCAACCACGACTTCAGCTTCGACTTGGCGATGGAGGACCTGGACTGCACCGTGCACGCCTTCGATCCGACCATGGGCGTCACCGGCTTCCGCAGGTCGGACCGCGTGTTCTTCCACGGTGTCGGGATCGGGGCGCAGGACGACTTCAGCGCGAGGTTCCCAGTGGCCAACCTGGGCACCATCATCCAGCTGATCCCGCTGCAGCAGGACATCATCGACTATGTGAAGCTGGACGTAGAGTGTAGCGAGTGGGAGGTGCTACACCAGCAGCTCACCTCCTCCGGGGACCTGCTGCGCGTGCGACAGCTGGCGATCGAGTTCCACCTGTGGCAGTGGAAGCCGCAGCTGGCTGACACTGCGGACGAGCGTGCCAGAATCGCTCAAAAGCAGACAAACCAGTATGTACACGCAGAGGACGCGGAACGCTTTGTGGCCGTGTTGCTGTCGTTACAGGCAGCTGGCTTTCAGTTAGTTCATAGTCTGCCATACCATATGTGTCACGTGTATGAGTCTGGGTGCCTGCCGTTTATTGTTGAAACGCTCTGGGTGAACACGCGGCTGAGTCATTTGACAAATAGATAGCTTTCTCATTGCCTGGCTTGATTAACAGCCGAGTGATCATTCTTGTACAGACGAGGATACCGGAGGTGACACTGGCACGTGTCTCCCCCATCGATCCAAAAAGGTGTACTGTAAAACAGTATGGAAATATTATCACACTTCATTCATAATACGTGTCCATGCCGGCCTGACTCAGGATGATAGATAAACGAAGCAGAGTCAAGTAGAAGTAGTAGTAGAAGAAGTAGTAGAAGTAGAAATAGTAGGTAGGACGAAGCCCAGCACAAAAGACGTGCACAAAAATCCCGTAGTTTTCAGTACAGAAGACTGCAGTTTTAAGTTAGAAATACACTACGTGTGCAATGTAGGCTAGGCTTCTACTTTTGTACTAAATATTTGACAGCCGGCAACTGAAGGCAGCGTGGCATAGGCGCTACAGTAGCGAAGGAATTCAAAATTTGAATAAATGTTGCGCCCAGACTTTAACAAAAATATTTTAGCGAGTTGGAGGATATATTAAACTGTCAGAATGTATTGGCTAATAGCAAACAATTTAGCAAATTGTAAAGAAAACTGTTAGGAAAATTCTAGACCACCCCCAGGTTCGAGCACAACCTTCCGATTATGGATCGGGTATATCACCAGGTTGAGCTAATGAGATCACTGGGCTTACCTCGAAAGTCGGAAAATTAACGGTGTACCGTGCATGATCCGGTGCGTCGTGGAAGTTTGACTGTCTTAGACAAAAAAAGGTCAACGGACAGGCTCAAGACTGTTTAGGCATCATTCGCTCGGTGCTGAATTCGTCGAAATTGGCCTGGTAGAAGTTGATTCACAGCTCGTTGAAAAGCAGGCCCTTAGCGCATGAATCCTATGGACTGGTAGGAAAAATACGCTGTAGAGTGGTTGTGCTACCAACGTACTTGGGCGGGGCTGGGCCTGACCCACCAGCTGACCTAGAGTACCACAGGGGAGCTCCGTGAAACAAGATGGCCGCACATCTCCTGGATTTGCTTGGCCTGATTGGCATACTTTTTTTATGATAACTCTAACAGCCATGGGTGAGGTCACCCAACGACTGGCAACGAAGGGTGGGCCTATGGCTAACAAACTGACGAAGTTTGGAGTGAAGAGTGGGCTTTCGGGGCATTTGTCCCACCCCGTCCGAATCACGCTGCCTGTTAGAGTTTACTTGGTCTCTGCCATCACAGCTTCAGAAGCGGCTATATGCATGAGAAGATGAAGACGTGGTACTGACAGAAATAATCCAACCTAAAAGGTAGCAGCCACACGTTGAGTTAGACAACACAACACCGTTATCTTACGTACGTTGGCAGCACTGGTCATAGATGTCCCGCCAATGCCTCACATTTGCGCTGCCAAATCATGTGACCATAGTGGATGTCACTGGAGATTTTGGGCTTACCTGGTACAGCATAGACCTATACTTGTACAAGTGCAGGTATCTTATACCTGAGATACCTGTATCTTATATTCTGCCACAATTTCGTCCCCCGCAGGACCGGTAACAGGACCTGCCACACTCGCGCGTGGCCACGTTTTCAACGTGGCCACATCCGACATCATTACCACAGGTGTTTGTCAAACGCACAACCACAAAGCACGTCATTATTTGTTGTTTTAACACGTGCCCGGGTGGCCAGCTAAATACCCTTTGCTCGGGTGGGGGGACCCCCTGGGATCTCGGGAACTAAGAAAGCTAGAAACACCCAATTCACAGGGTGTACTGACCTGTATGTAAACTCACTTAGGTCGAAATTTGAGGTTCCCAGGTCATGACCTTCGGGTCAAATATTATCAAACAAGGTCAAATTCCTGTTTGGTCTCCAAAATGCCGCCAGAACCTAGATAACTGTTTCTAAGCACAAGGTCACATGCGCAGTTAGTCCGTGACCTTGTCTGACTTTTTGGAGATAATCCTGACCAAAAGTATGCAAGGCTGCTCTTAGTTTTGCATTTTGATAACCGACAAAGATTTCGGGTAACTGACCTATTCTGACCTCTAAGAATTTCATGAAAGATGCATAATACGGTTCCTGCTGTCAAAAAATTTGAAGTGACCACCAGAAATTATCCCATACAGCAAGTCCTAGAGTGATAAAACAGACTGATTTCGACCTTTGCCTGACCTTTATACCTGACCTTAGGTCAACGCAATTTGCTCATTCAATATTTATGTTACCTAAGAAAGCATCCCAGGGATGTATGGCCTCGCCTAACACTCCGTTGTTGCATCAGATTGAACGATTGCCTAGAAATTGACTTTGCCGAACCCATGACCTGACCTTGACCTGCCATAGGTCAGCGACCTTACAAGGTGCATATAATTTGGTTTTAATACAAACGATCCGCTATTCAATTGCCCACAGCTATGCAAAATTTGGAGCGGCTGCACCGCGCCGTTCGGGAACCATTCTGGAAAAGCCTTCGAAGGGGTCAATTTGACCACCCACCCGAGCGCGTGTTAAGGATTGTCTGATGACAAATGGAGGTGTTTTGTTGTGTTGAATACCTTTGAGAATAAGCCCGTTGAGATATGTTCGTCGATTACCCTCTCAAGCATGTCTAAAGAATGTCATGTCGGTTTTGGAATATCGGAGATCACAATGATTTTTTTGGTGAGTGCTGTTTGCAGTGTTATTGCGTCGATGTCATGCTTCCAGACCATGCAGCCATGCTACCAAAATGCCGCCAGTGTGTCTGCCATAGATGAATAGGTTCAGGTGAAATTTGTGTTGCAGTTCTGTTCCCCATGCCCTTAAATATGCGCAGACAGAATATTTCCCTCCTTCAAACGTACAGCGGTGCGACAGATTTGCAAGAGCATACACCTGACCCTAGGTTGTAAATGCTGATAGAAACTGGCCCAACCCATTTGCGCGCATTTTTTGTCATGGCGCTACCGCCGGCTGCAGACGCTTCGATGGCAAATTCCAGGCCGCCTCTCCGCCAAACACAAGCCACCAATCGCACGCGTTCTCCGCCAATCAACAGCCAGAACTAGTACTGGGCCCGATGCAACCCGCAAATCACATCCCGCAAATTTGAGCCGCCGGCGAACTGGCCTCCAATCAGCGGTGAGCATCGCTGCCATAATTTTGCTTTGGTAGTTATCTCGACGCCCTGATACGTTGGGATGCGTAGCGCCGCGGGGTGTTGTTAGGTTCGTGACGCGTGGGCGGCCAGTTCGATTCCCGGGACGGCGGCCGGTTTATGTTTGGGCCCACTTTGCACGCCGGCGTCGGATTTTCTGGAGTAGTTTATAGGCATTTAAGTAAAGTTATGAGATGTTCATGCTGCGCAGAGTTCAGCCATTATCAATTTCATTTTACGGTCAGATGCCGGTCATGATGGGAACTCACGCGGGCATTCGGCCTTTCCGTCAATATCGCGAGCTCTGGACATACGCTCCTTGTATTTAGCCGGGGTCGAAGCCTAGCCGGTATCTACGAGTTGTCCGGATGTGATGTGAACCACGTCGCCTAGAAGACCCTACCTCGAAACAAAAATAACCGGACTTCATCCACCTTGTTTCGGGTGGCTTGGTGTTCTTCGTTTTACATGTATGTGTCTCAAGGTGTAACTGAAACAGCGAACGCAATTCTACCGGTATTTATATGATAGTGTATGCCACATTTCTGCACCAATACAAGTCAGCGGCATTGTGGTCTCCGTCTGGTCCTTTAATTGTTGGTACGTGGCCGCTGTGCCTCCCCTCCCCCCGCACCAACCTTCACCACTGATTGAGTCAGGGGCGGATCCAGAGAGAGCAGTCACGGGGCCCATGACCCCCCGTGGTACCCGAAGTGGCCCATAGGCTCCGAAGGGGGCTGTAGGTGACCAAACAGATACAGTTTTTTAAACACAAAACACAACAAAATTTCTGTGGATTTCCAGGCCACCGAGAAGAGTTGCAAACGAAATTGAATGGCTCAAGAGAAAATATAAAAATATTGAATAATGGAAAAAGTTGTTTGTTGTAAATTATAAGCCTTATCACACTGTCCAGAGTCCTATCCCGTTTCCGGGGACCTATATGCCCACTTGCAAGGTCATTTCGATCGTTAAGGAGCCTTCCACGTTAGCCCTGACTGCTTTGCGTTTGCTCGGAGGGACCTGCACTGATGTGCTCTTCCTGCTAGCGTGCCGGGGCGCTCTTGTCAATCAGAGGCCTTCCACGGATTCTTTCCATTCGCCAGAATGGCTCTGTGGGCTATAGCAGGGGACCCACATGTTAACTTGCCCGGGTATTCTCGGCGGCTCGGGGCCCCTTACGTTGATTTCGGTTCACTTACCGACACACTTGCGATATGCTCATGGGCCCTCTGCATTGGTCTAGGGCGCTTCCAATTTTATGTCATTTGCTTAGGGCCCTATGCTCTTGTCGGGGGCTCATCTGTTCACCTGCTTATGCACACTCTGTCGGTCGGGGCCCTCGAAACTGGGTCCAGGGTACTTTCCTTTTGAATGGAGGGCCCTGCACACTTGTCGGGGCCCCACCTGTTAACCTGCTCCGGCACACTGAATTGTTTAGGGGCCCGGCACATTGGACATTTTAATGTAGGGACCTACGCTCTTGTCAAGGCTGTCAAGAATCTGATAGCCTGCTCGGATACACTCGATCTTTCGGGGGCCCTCTACATTGGGTCTTAGGGAAGCCCTATTTGAATGGAGGCCCTGCGCACTTGTCTGGGGTCCCCTCTGTTAACTTCTTCAGCCAAAGTGGATTGTCCGGGAGCCCTGCACATTGAGTCTTGGCGTTTGAATTAAGGGCCCCGCGCTACTATCGGGGCCATCTGATAACCTGCTCGGGTACGCTCCATCTTTCGGGGGCCCTCCGCACTGGGTTCTGGGCACTTGTTACTTCAATGAAGGGACCTACGCTCTATGCTCTTGTTGCGGCCCCTTCTGATAAGCTGCTCGGGCACATTCGATTGTTAGGGGACCTCTGCGTCTGGTCTTGGGTAATTTCGATTTGAACGGAGGGCCCTGCACTCTTGACGGGGGCC